AGTAATGCTCCGCTGCCAAGTCCGCCAGCAAGCCGCCGAGCAGCAGGCGCGGGCTGTTCTCGCCCCCGAGCCATTCCAGGAAAGATCGGGCGAGAGCGCGCCGATCCTGGTCACCCCCCTCGAATTCCTCTCCGAGCGCATTGAACGTAGCGTTCCAACGTCGGCTTTCCCGCGCCATGGGCCAGGTTGCAACGCTGGGGGGCCCAGCCAAAGTTTTTGACAAACGCAGTCTCGCCGCCCAGCTGTTGCGCCCCCACTGCGGTGCGGAACGCGATGGGCGCAGTCAGAAACTTGGCCAGACTTGGCGGCGTCTTACCCGTTGCCAGCAGCATGTCCGTCATCGCGATCTCGCTGTCCTCCTTTGAATTGGCGAGCAGCTCCTGGGCCGAATGCGCTTCGCCCCAAGCGTGAAACGCTAGCCGAGGGAACGTGCCGGTTGCAGACAGGGGTGCGTTTAGATCCGCCCCATCGCTGCGCCATGCCCGCATCCCCCCTCGCAAATGCTTGCGCAATTCCACGTCCAGTCCCCCGCCTGCCGTCTGGCACGCGCGACGCGCGCAATCCCCCAGCATGAAAACCTCGCCGTCGCAATCCATGGCCCGCGGGAACTCCCGCACCCCGATCGCCCGGCCCACGATTCAGGATCCTTCGGGGCCCAGCTGTTCCAGCCAGCCTGCCTTGAGACCGTAGCTCGGGTGAAAGTCCCAAGTCTTTGGAATAGACCACAGCACGGTGCCTGTCTCGATCTGGCACGCGCGGCCAAGACTGTCCGCGGCCAACCGAAAAGCCAGGCCCTCTTTGAGATTTCTCTGGGTTATGAATTTTCCGAATTGAGCCATTGCGGTCACCACCTAGCGGCACTGTTGCGAAGACTCCGAAGCTCAGCGGTCGATCCCGAGGAACACGCCCCGCCAAGCATCGAAACTTCCGAGGAAACTGGACGTCTCCAAGAGTGCGCGGGTGGCGACCACTGCGCGGCAACCAGGGCGCGGGTCGCCAGCTGTTGCGGCTCGGGACTGTCGCAGCTGTTGCGCAGCTGTTGCAGCTGTTCTCCAAGAGTGCGCCGCTGTTGCGGCTGCTGCGGCTTGGAACGCCTGAACGGGGAGACCCTGGTACGCGCCTTCCGCTCGAACCCGCTCTGGCCACGCCGCTTCTGCTGCCTGGTGCTCCTCGCTCTGCGCGTGGCGCGCGAGGTTCTCGCGACGTCGGAAAGTCCCGCCACCCCGGCCTATGGTGGACTTGCAACGAGAGCCCTTGAACGCCGAGCAAAACAAGCAGATTGCAAATTGACCACCTGCGCAGCCCATCCAAGTTTCAGGCTTCAGGGTCACTGGATTCGTCGCAGACAGAGTGGCGCTCCAAGACACCTTGGTTTCCCAAAATTTGCCCGCGCCGCAAGTCATGACGTGCTTTGGGTGGTCGTGGCTGTTGACGTGCTCCTCCAGGGTCATGGACACAGGCTCGAAATTCTCGACTGCTTTGCTCGGGGCGGCCTTAGCATTAGCTTTCGCTGTTTCAACTATGGGTGCCTCGCTGCTGGAGCCGCTGTCCTCTGCGGAGCCGCTGCTGGAGCTGCTGCTGAACCGCTGATGGAGCTACTGTTGCAACCGCCGGCCTCGGCAACTCCAGCGGCGTCGACAAATCCGTCGGCGTCGTCGGCGTCGGACACTACTACGTCGGCTTCGGTGCCCGAACTGTTGCAACCAGGGCTCGAGGGGGCCGCCAGGCTCGAGGGGGCCGCAGGGCTCGAGGGGGCCGCGCGGCTCGAGGAGGCCGCAGGGCTCGAGGGGGCCGCAGGGCTCGAGGGGGCCGCGCGGCCCGATGAAGCCGCACGGCTCGAGTGGGCCGCGCTGCTCGAGGAGGCCGCAGGGCTCGAGGGGGCCGCAGGGCTCGAAGGGGCCGCGCGGCTCGAGGAAGCCGCACGGCTCGAGGGGGCCGCACGGCTCGAGGAGGCCGCAGGGCTGGAGGGGGCTGCACGGCTCGAAGAGGGGCGCGGGGACGACGGCATTGCCTGGCGTGAACCAAGCCCTACGGAAGATGATGGTGACGGTGATGGTGATGGTGATGGTGATGGTGGTGATGATGATGGTGATGGTGATGATGGTGGTGGAGATGATGTTGGTTGTACTTCTAAAATAGGATGGTCACCATCATCACCATCGGCATCAGCCTCACCACATGGAAACACTCAACTGACCCAACTAAGACCGCCCTAAAGACAGCCAGCCACTCTCCTGAAGATTCATGTGGATTGTTAGGATATCCCAGGTTGCCGCCCCAAACAGCAGCAGCAGTTCCGTATTGGCAGTCGGCTGTTCCAGGCCCAAGCTTGTATGCTTGCTGAGCACGTCAGGGCGAACACTGGAGGATGGATGGAACACCCCATCACTGCGACCTGGGCTCAGACTGCCCCCTCCTTTTGGAGGTGGGCCAGATCGTCGCCCTCTAGTCTTCCCATGTTGCGGCCACCGCAAACTTTGATCAGTGCGAGTACCACCCCCAGTTCACCATCACGTCGTGCATAGGGAGTGCGTCCACGCGCATCCTTGGAGCTCGCATGCCGAATCCTTCAGAGGTCCTCAGAGACACCCCTGGTCACAGCTGATGTTCGCACGGCAAGGGTTCTCATACTACGCTTCTTGGTCGTCACCAAGACGGAGCCTAGCGTACTCAGAGCAAGAAGACATACCCTTCCCACCTGTGCCAGGCCATTGTGCACGCCATGCTTGACAGTGCTAAGAATATTGCTGCTCCAGCGGAGGAGGCTGATTTTACCTTCGAAATCGGCGAAGCGGAGATGAGTGAAGGCCTCTGGAATTTTTACGTTCAGTGGACCCCGCAGTGTGACGAAGATCTTGCCCTTGCCTTCGCTGGCGGCAACGGCCGAACCGTATTACGAAATTTGCAGGTTCTTCTCAGGACCAAGTGACGACGGTGATACCCTGTCCTGCGCTGATGCGGCTGTTACTCCCGACGATTGTGATTGGCATGACCCCCCCCAACCGGTCGACTTCGGCTGAGCTTTGGAATTGGGGGGAGGGGCACTCTCCTCGTTCCCTCTTCTGCCTCGTCTGTCCCTCCTCCTCCTCCTCCTGCTCCTCCTGCTCCTCCTGCTCCTCCTCCTCCTCCTCCTCCTCCTCTTCTTCTTCTTCTTCTTCTGCTTCTTCTTCGTCTTCTTCTTATTATTATGCTTATTATTCTTCTTCTTCTTATTCTTCTTCTTCCTCTCCTTCTTATTATTCTTATTCTTCTTATTCTTCGTCGTATTCTTCTTCTTATTCTTCTTCTTCTTCTTCTTCTTCTTAGTCTTATTCTTATTATTAATATTATTCTTATTGTTCTTCTTCTTATTATTCGTCTTATTCTTCTTCTTCTTATTATTCTTCTTCTTATTATTATTCTTATTATTCTTCTTCTTCTTCTTCTTGTTCTTCTTCTTCTTATTATTATTCGTCTTATTATTATTATTCTTCTTATTCCTCTTCCTCTTCCTCTTCCTCTTCCTCCTCCTCATCCTCCTCCTCCTCCTCCTCCTCC